ATTACTCGCAATCGTGAGAGCAGTTCTAAACAGAAAGTTGGTCAAAGTTAAAAAAAAAAAGAAAAAAGAAAAAAAAAAGGAAAAAAAAGAAAAAACAAGAAAAAAGTGTCAGTGGTCCTATTTCTCGCAATCGTCAGAGCAGTCTAAACAGAAAGTTAGTCAAAGTTAAAAAAAAGAAAAGAAAAAAAGGAAAAAAAAGAATAAAAAAAGAAGAAAAAAAGAAAAAAGAAAAGAAAAAAGAAAAGAAAAAAAGGAAAAAAAAAGAAAAAGAAAAAAAAAAGAAAGAAGAAAAAAAAAGGAAAAAGTGTCAGTGGTCCTAAAAATGTGGTACCTTAAAGGGGCAATGCTCGCAGAACCTCCCGAAGTAGCGCCCCTCATCCGTCTCCCGACACTTGCAAATCCCGCACTCGCATTCCCCATTCCCGGAACAAATCAGCGTCGGGTCCTCCGAATCCGGTTTAATGCACAAATTGGTGGCATTCCTGCAGGCGCAATTGTCTCCCATCCAACCCTCTTTGCATTCGCAGACGCCGCAGACGCAAGTGCCGTGTTCGGGGCCGCTGCAGATGAGGCCGTTGTGGCGCTCGCAGGAGAAGTTGTCGCATTGGCACAACTCCCCACTGATTGCCTGAAAAATCAAACTTTGGAAAAATTCCGGGCCTTTCCGGGAGTGCTACCTCTTCCGGGTTGTTGCGCTGCTCGCATTCGCACTTGCCGCAAATGCAGTTGCCGCGGCCGCTGCACTCCAGCCCGTTTTTGGGGTTGATGCAGTTGGCGGTGGAGATGTTGGCCGAAGTGCCGTCCTTGTTGCACTCGCAGTAGGGGCCGTAAGCGGGCTCGATGCAGTCGCAAATCCCGCACATGTAAGTACCTGGATTTTTCACGAAAAAATAAATTGCATACAGGGTGGGGTTTAAAACACGGCAGGGGCTGTAAAAGTTTTATTTATGGCCCGATTCTAAAAATTAAAAAAACTGATTCAATGGCTTTTAATAGAGTATAAGCTGACAATATTAGAATTTTTCTAAATGTCATAGTATGGTTTGAATTATACAAAACTTTCTAATTTTAAATATTGACTAAATTATTTTTTCCTATTTTGAAAAATATTAGTTTTCTTGGTGCAGACATGTGCAATAAGTTCTATTTTTACTAAAAAGTATTGTTTAAAAAATTATAAAAAAATTGAATAATCTAAGAATAATCTAATTAAAAGTAAACAAAATAAATAAATAAGTAATAATAAAATAATCTAAATTACGAGTAGACATTTTTCCGATTTTTTTCTTATTAAAAAATTGAAAAAATATGGGCAATATTTTCTTTCATTTGCTGCTTTTTAACATTACAATAATGATATTGTCTTATTTGACACCATGCAACTAGATTTGATTAACTTTTATTAGGTATTTTTTAAAATTTTACCTAATAATAATAACAGAAGTAATTTTTAGTAAAAATAGAACATATTTCACATGTCTGTACTAAAAAATTAATTCTAAAAAAGTTCTAAAATTGTCGTTTTATACTGGATTTTATAAAATTTTATTCCTTTAATTTTTGAAATCGAGCCACAAATAAAAATTCTATAGCGCCTGCTGTTTTTGAAAAATCACCCTGTATAAAAAAAATAAAGCACAAAATGCTTTAATAGTTAATGTGTCAAGGAAATAAACAACTACTTTAACCATGAGTATGTAGGTAACGCCAGAGGTGACCGAAGGCAGCCGAGGGCGCTTCCATTCCAGGATTTAAAAAAAATATTTTTTTTTCTCACAACAGACTAAATTAATAATAACATAAGAAGATGATAAATGTGTCAAATAAAATTTGTCAAAATATTCAGTTCGTCAAAAAACACTCAAAAGACTCAATTTCACTTTATTTTAAGAGTAAAAATCAGTGTTTCGTTCATTTTATTCCCGAGGGAATAAAGTAAGTACCATATTAGTAGTCAAAAAAGAAGAAATAAAGCGTCATTTTATTCGCTGTTGGGAGGAAAATAAAAAATAATTTCAATTGATATTTTCTCTCCAAATACTACTAAAAATCAGTTTATTGAATCGAGTCGGCCATTGGTTGTCTTAGTTTTAGATAACCAATCATGTTACACTCACAAACACATTTTAATTGATTTGATTGGTCCAAAACTAGACTGTATTTTGACTATTTTTTTTTGTTGTTGCATAGGAAAACGATCTAATTGGCTGGAACACCGACGTAGAATTTGATTGGTTGTAACATAGAAGATTCCACCCTTTCCGTACTCTCAAAATCGGATTGGTTATTATTCCGTATTGAAGCATTTTTTATTGGTCAATTATTCATGTTTTGATTTGACAACGCTTCTAAAGTGGTAGTTTTTTGTTCCTGGAATTAAATAAACCGGTTTGATTGGACAAAGTGTTCACGAATCGGCTAACTGATTGGGTCTTTTTTGTCGACAGTTAATTATCGAATTTGATTGGTTGTTACGGTTTGATTTTATTTGTCCATTGACTAGAAATCGCCCATTGGTGAATTATTTGCGTTTTGTTTCCCTAGTGACTCAAAACGCATTTAATTGGTTAAAAAATGTGCTTATTTACTAAGAACTAATTTGATTGGTCCAAAAAACAAGCCACTATTATTCCACTCATTAGTTGTTGCATAATTTTAAAAAAATTGTAACTTAATGTGATGTTTTTTTACCTCCTTATCTCGGATTGGCCATTGTTCCGACTCGACAACGCGTTTTAATTGGCTTTCCAACTGGTAGTTTTTGTTTCTAAGAGTTAAAAATCGATTTGATTGGTCCGAGTTTCCCACGCGTCCGCCCACTTTGTTAGTTTTTTGTCTCCGTGAATAATAAACGAAACGATTTGATTGGTAACATTTTTTAGTGGAATTCTTAAAAAACAAGTTTATATTTTATTTTGCGATTCCAACATTGGATTGGATTGTTAATCCCCGCCCAGTGCATTTTTATTGGCTAATTATTCGCACCCGTTTCGTTTCCCCAGTAACACACAGTAACGCATTCTAATTGGTCCAGATTGTCACCAATTCTTTCTTAAGTGACTGAATCAACCGATTTGATTGGTCCAAGTTTCCACGACTCCACGGCTGCTATAGTATTGATAGTTTTTTGTTTCGGTGAGTAATAAATGAAATAATTTGATTGGCTAGAAAATCGTCTAATAAATTCTGAATTTGATTGAAAATCCCTTCCAAAAGAATTTTCATGGCAGTAGAAAAAATAAAGTAGTTACTTCGTGGTGCCACTCACCGTGATTGTGACATTTTGGCGAATTTCTCTCGAATCCCTCATGTTCGCAGGGACAGTCACACAGCATGGTCAAATCAATGAACAAACTCTCGTTGAGTCCCACAGGATAAATCTGGATGAGTTGTTTGGTGTCCCTGGGATCGGTGGGACACTTGAGGACTTCGAGTTGGACCCGGAATTGTACCAAACTGCCAACTTTGATGTTTCCACATTTATTGGTTTGAATTTCGCGCCCTTTACTGTTCAAACATTTGGAGAAAAAGCGAACATCAACCGAACCCGAAGCGTTATGTTTCATTTCAACAACCGACGAAATCGCTTGGTACTGTTCTGTGATCAAGTCGACGACGTTTGACGAATCGTTTGACAATTGCCCACAGGAAGAGCCCTCAATGTGCTCTTTCAACTGTTCGTAGATTTCTTTTTTTTCAGCTGTGACGGCAAAAATCACATTAATTGAGTTCTTTTTCACGTAGGTGTTGATCTGGCTGATACTGGGGTAATCCTGCTTGGAGGACATGGTGTAGTACCCTCGCTGGTCCAAGTGACACTGCCCATCGTTGGGTTTCACAATCCCGCCCAACTTTAATTACAGTATTAGCTACTATTTAAGTGTCAAGAGTCAAAAAATAAAAATAAAAGCTTTTCTCCCAACAAACTAAACGACCGATTTTTACCAAATGTTTGTGCAATTTCTAGCTCATGAAGCTATAATTCATCCAAAAATGTAAAAATCTGGGTAGGCCAAATTTCAGCCGATTACAATACTTTCCTTACAGGAAATGGAAAGTAAAAATAACAAATTTGTCAAAATATTCAGTTCCTTCAATTTTAGGAGTAAAAATCGGTATTTCGCTTATTTATTTTCGAGGGAATAAAGTGACGCTTTATTCCCTGTTGGGAGGAAAGGCAAAACAGTGCAGAAAGTGTTACTTTTCCGTCTCCGGCGTAGTGAAAGCCGGCGTCTGTTGAGAAAACTAGTAGGCGGCGAGCTTGATGGCGCCAACCGATCTGTTCACGGCACACTACGGCTTGCATGATGGCGTCGAAACCACCCTCAGGGGCGTCCAAATTGCCCGAAACCGACGCTCGTTTCACCATGTGCTAAAAACAAATCTGAGACTGGAAATTCAATCCAATTTTTTGCTGTTAGTAAAAAGGAAAATTGTGGGGTGAAAATGGGATGAAAGTCGAGTTGGAGTTAGGGGTTACTTGAGTAAATCAGTACAATCAAAGCAAACACTGATTTGTGAATTGTGTTAAAAACAATAGAAAAGTGATTGAAGGAGTTAATTAAAAAATTGAAATTTTAAAACATTTGAGATTTGTAAATAATAAATACTAATTGTTAGAAATTTAGACTGTTCGAAAAATGTTAGGATCTAAAATCTTTAAAAATAAAAACAAATCGACAAAAAATGTATTTGTAGATTTAGCAACAATTTTTGTTTTCTTAAAAAATCAAGAGATTATGAGCCTTATAGAGCTTTAAATATCTTGAAAAACTTTCAAGATTTTACTTAGGTGCTAAGTGTTTCGGGAAATTCTAATTCTAGAAAATTAAGAACCATTAAGAAAGATGTCAAAATTCGAAAAACTATAGCAAACATTATAAGAAAAGCACACCTTTTCATAATCTTAAAAACCCAATTCTAACAACTTTATAAAGCTTCAAAAACTTTGAAGATTGTAATTAGATACTAGAAAATTTGAGAAATAATTCTAGAAAATAAATGTTTTAATTACGTAATAAAATTGCTATTTTTATCTTGAAATAACTCACCAAAGAATTATAACAAAAAATGAAGGAGAATAGTACCAAAAAATCATAACATTGTAGAAATCTTTAAGATCCTGATAAAGGTTTGAATATCTTTAAAACTTTCAAGATTTTAAGTAGGCACTGCAAGTTTTGAGAAATGCTGATTCAAATTTAAAACAAATTTAAACCATTAAAAAAGAGAGAAATCTTGAAAATAACAACATTTTAAAAATTCTAGATAGTTATTGAAAAAAAATATATAAAATTTCAAAATGTTAAGAGTATAATTCTAAAGATCTTGAAAGTGTTATATGTATTTAAAACCTTCAAAAACACAAAAATTTTCGAAAATGTTAGAATCTGCTATCCCTTGAAAAAATCCTATAAAAATCATTAAAAATAAAAAAAAATTCAACTAAAAAATGTTAAAAAGATTAAATAAATCTTTAATTAAATAAATAAATAAAATTAAGACACTTTAAAATTAAGAAACTGTTCACAATAGGTACCTATTAACATCTTCGTAAAGTTTTAAAGACATTCAAAATTTAAATTAGGTTCTAGTAAGTCTTAAGTCTCCAAAAACTGCAATTCTAAGAATCTTGACAATTGTTATAAAAGTGTAAGAAGTCTTAGAAATACTTAAAATTCTATGCAGAATTTTGGAAAGCCGTAAATTTTGTAATTTTGAGAAGTAAGAAAGATCATAATAAATTTGCAAAATTCTTCTGAGTAGAATAAATTCTAAAAATGTAATAATCAAGAAAAAACGTCTTCGAGAAGTAAAAAATAGCAATTTTCTTGATTTAAAAAAAGTAAAAGATGTTTAAATATCTTGA